TTATTATCAAGTAGGATTTGGAGTCCTTAATCAGCTCAGATTCTTCAAGATTCTTTTACCCAATTTTAGTTCAATTCCATTGGTTCACCGCCAGCTGTACCAGTTCCCAACTCCTAGTCTACTTCTGTCATCCTAATTCTATAAATGATCCTCAAGTGAAGGGGAACGATTACCATTAGTCAATTACCAACCAGCAGCAATGGAAAGGAGACTGCGAGAGGATCACGAGCGGGAAATTCGTCCTGTCGGCGCGGAAGCCGAAGGTGGTGGCGGCGGTGGTAGCCCCATTGACTCCAAAGTTGTGATGGAGGACGCTTTCAAGGACAAGCCGGTGCCGTCATGGCGGAGGCAGATAACGCTGCGGGCTGTAGTGACGAGCTTCATCTTAAGTCTCGTTTTCAACTTCATCGTCTGCAAACTCAACCTCACCACCGGTGTTATCCCATCTCTCAACGTCGCCGCTGGTTTGTTAGGGTTCGCCGTCCTTAAGTCGTGGACCGCGCTACTTAACAAGTTTGGACCATTGAAGCAGCCTTTTACGCGGCAGGAAAACACCATCATCCAGACTTGCGTCGTCGCTTCCTCCGGAATTGCCTTCAGCAGTACGTTAATTAATTTTTCAGTGTTCTTATTTAGATTTTAAATCCCTAATCTCAATCTAGAATTTAGATACTATGAATTTAATCCCACTAAATTTAAAATATGAATGAAGGTAGTATGATAATTGTGAGGAGTACATAGTCACTGTTTATATTTTCGTTTTAGGGTTTTCTATGCTTTTTCTTATTAACTGCTATAAAAAAAAATTAATCTGAATTGTATAATTGCCCAATTAAAATCATTATCTTTCTCGTTTTATTAGCGTTGAAAATGAAAATAAGTTTTTTCTTATAAAATTTAATGAATGTTTAACATGTACCACACGGGACAAATCCTTTCCTTAATTTTAACTGCAAAATAAATATTTTACCCGCTAAACGATTTATATTCACCAATTATTTAGGTGGAACGGCGAGTTATTTACTGGGGATGAGTCCAATCGTGGCGGGTCAATCAGAGGGTGGGAACACACCGGAGAATGTGAAGACACTAGCCATTAGGTGGATGATGGGATTTCTCTTCGTTGTGAGTTTTGTGGGATTGTTCTCCATTGTTCCTCTCAGAAAGGTAAGGAATGAATCTCAATATTTTTCAAATTAAAGAATATTATAATTACAAATTAACTTAGTTAATCTCCACTAATTTTAATTCTTTACCACTATCTATAAGGATAAGTCCGAGGTCCTTAACCTCGGACGTACTGTAACAATTCTTTTATAGCCGAAGTGAAGTTAAACCCAGTATTTCTGGTTAAACGGCTGCACGATAAATATAGTGGGCATATCCACACCTGATTTGTTACATAACTCCTCGGTCCCGAATTTGTAGCCGGTCCCAAATTTATCTCTTTAAGGGACACGTCACACTCCGATCATCCTGCTAAACAAGCCACGTGGATACCTCATGAAGGCTTATAAATACCCCCAGGGGCCACGTCAAAAAGGTAATTGAAACCATCCTAAAGCTCCTTTTTCATTAGTCCAGAGATAGACCCGATTATTGCTGACTTAAGCATCGGAGTGTCTACCCCGAGAACCCACCTCGGGACTTTGCAGGTTCATCTGAAGTGAAGACGCAGATTGAAGAAGGATCTCTGGTTTGGTGCAATTACATTTGGCGCCGTTTGTGGGAAACGAACTGAAAGCTTTCTTGTTACTCTTTCATCATGGTTAACACTCGATCAATCTGAGTTGGAAATCCATCTCTGCCTCTTGGACAAGGTTAACTCCCCAACAACCTCCCACCTCAGCCTCCACCTCAGATCCCAAATATGTTCCCTCTTGTTGATAATGCAGAAGGAGGAGATGAAAACCAACCTCATAACTCAACTCACAACTCAACTTCCACCGCCAACCAAGATGTAGTCATAGCTCAGCTTGCTGCCATGCAACAATAGTTTGGTGTCTTTTAATTAGTACTGGCTCAACTCTTAACTCAGAACAACCCTGGTGATCCCCTCATTAATTTACTCAACCCTGCTCCACAACCCCCAGCTCCACAATAAGACCCTCAACCAGTTTAGCATGCTCCTACTCTTAGTGAGTCTCAAGGCCAGTCTCACATAGCCCCAGCTCAACAACCCCTCCCTAATGATGTCACTCGACGTCTAGACAGCTTAGAAAAGCTAGTAGCTGAACAGCGAGATGCCCCACCTCCACACCATGTTGCTGACTCCATACCCCATCCTCTGAACACCAACATTACACTGGAACCCTACCCTGCTGGTTTTAAGATACCTCAACTTGAGACTTATGATGGGACGAAGAATCCCGATGATCACCTACATACTTTCTACTCTTACATGCAAGATCAGAACGCCTCTGACACATTGATGTGCAAAATCTTCCCCTCTACTCTCTGAGGTAATGCTTGAACATGGTATTACAGCCTACCTCTGAGGTCAATCAGCTCTTATATAGAAATGGCATCTACTTTTGCCACAAAGTTTTCCAGTAGAAGGTTGATCAAGAAAACTACTTCTGAACTGATGCAAGTTAAACAGAGGAACGGGGAATCTCTGAAGAATTATATGAGCAAAATCAGTGATGCGGTACTTGAGATTAGCTCCTTCGACCAAGCTGTGGGAATTACAACTGTGATCTCAGGTCTTAACCATGAGAGATTCAGAGATAGTCTGCTCAAGCATCCTGCCACCACTTTTAGCGAGATGAATGATAGATCACTAAAATTCATAACTGCTGAAGAATATGCCTTGTCGCAGAAGCCAGCCCCCTCTAAGAACCAAAACCCAGACCGGTGAGATGAGAATCAGAGCAAGAAATGAATGAGAACAGTACAGAACCGAGGTCTGATGTCGACCCCCACATCAAGATTTGGAAGGCCGAACTCAGCACCTCCACAACAGTCTGCAGGTAAACCTCTAATTACTTGGACTCCTTTTAATCTGCCAAGGTCACAGATTTTCATGCAGATTAAGAACAAGATGGACTTAAGGCATCCTGACCCAATGAGAACTGCTATTGCTAGCCGAAATCATACTAGATATTGTGATTTTCATCAAGATCACGGTCATACAACAGAGCAATGCAACAGCCTAAGGTCCGAACTGGAAAGTCTAGCCCAGAGGGGAATGTTGAATGAGTACCTCTAGAGAGCTGAACAATCAAGATTTGTCAGAGAACAGGGGCCACAACCCCAAGGAATCCGTAATCCACCAAACAGGCAAGGAGTAGGGCATCAACAAGCCCCACCTCCACTTCTGCCACTAGCCAGAATTATACACATGATTACAAGAGGGTTGGAAGTAGGAGGGTTGAGCTCCAAACAGAGAAACCTGTATGTCAGAGAGGTAAAGCATCAAAACCGAGCTCAGAAAAGGAAACTTGATGATGCTGACCGGAAAGATCAACCAATCACTTTTACACCTGCTGATTTTGAAGGGGTGGTAACACCTCACAATGACCCTTTGGTCACCTCAATAATGATCAACAACTGTCAAGTCCAACGTGTACTTGTTGACACCAGGAGCGCACCTGACATCATGTACTACCACTGCTTTGAGAGCCTAGGGCTCGACCCAACTCTACTACAACGTTATGATGGTCCTATATATGGTTTCAACAACCAACCAGTTCCAATTGAAGGGATCCTAACCATGAATGTTACATTTGCCAAAATATATATATATATATTTCTTTACCAGATTATGATCCTGAAGTACAAGTTAACACATCCTTCTGGAACTCCAACTGCATACCTTATCAACAGTTTCCACACTCCCACAGGGGCCAAATTAGCAAAGTAAGCACTCTTTAATTATTGTTTTAATTAAATTCTATTATTATTTTTTGTACAAGTATTGATCGTATATATTCTATAAATGGGTACAGGAAACAGGTAGCATTGCTATTCAGCAGTTTTAGCTTCAGCTTCGTCTTCGCCTTTTTTCAGTGGTTTTTCACAGCTAGCGATGACTGTGGATTCATAAACTTCCCCACTTTTGGAATGCAAGCCTTCAAAAAGAGGTAGCTAAATCTTAATTAATTCCTAATCTATAAACACTGTAGTTTTTTTTTTCGTGGAATATAAATACTATAGTTTGCTCTTCTTAGTTTAATTATTTAATTCACGAGGATTAATTTAATTTTAATTAATCTAGGTTCTACTTCGATTTCTCATCAACATATGTTGGTGTTGGAATGTTATTCCCTTACATGGTGAATGTGTCGTTGTTGATTGGAGCAATCATATCATGGGGAATCATGTGGCCCATGATTGAGAACAATAAAGGTGTCTGGTACAGTGCTGATTTAAGTCCTGGCAGTCTCCATGGAATTCAAGGATATAGGGTATTAATCTTCTTAATTCTATCCGTCTAATGTTGCTAGTAATTAAGCTAGTTTTATGCACTAATGAACTGATTTTTTTTTTTTTTTGGTTGCTGACAGATTTTCATCGCTATTGCCATGATGCTAGGAGACGGTTTATACCATGTTCTCGTAATGCTATTAAGAACTTTATGGAGCCTGGTTGCAAAAAGCATACAATATTCCGATAAAAATTTCCAGTTCCAAAACTACGATGAAGAACGAAGAACCGAATTCTTCTTAAAGGACCAGATTCCTGGATGGGTTGCTCTTGGAGGTTATCTTGTACTTGCAGCCATATCCACTATCTCTGTGCCTTTCATGTTCCCCCAACTCAAATGTTACGTATATTGTTATCATTTCTCATAAAATGATTGTACGGGCATTTTAAATTTGATGGACATACTTATTAAGTGGGAAAATCCCACATCGAGTATAAAAATAAAAAGCTTGTGGGTTAAATATAAGGAGGGCTACTCCACCTATTGCCAATTGATTTTAGGTTGGATGCAAGCATTGTATTGAGCCCACATGCAAGATTTTCAATATGGTATCAGAGCCCAGGTTCTACCATGGGAAGCCCATTGTTAGCCCACTTGACAGGACCCGAAGTTGATACCGGGCCTGCATTTAAGGGGACGTGTTAACCCACGTGACAGGACTCGACATTCATAGCGGGCCTGCACGTGAGGGGGCGTATTAAGTGGGAAAATCCCACATCGAGTATAAAAATAAGAAGCTTGTGAGTTAAATATAAGGAGGGCTACTCCACCTATTGCCAATTGGTTTTAGGTTGGATGCAAGCCTTGTATTGAGCCCACATCCAGGATTTTCAATAATACTAATAACACCTTTCTTAATTTAACAGGTGTCATATTGTCACTTATGCCATGGCTCCTGTCCTTGCCTTTTGCAACGCATATGGCTGCGGCCTCACAGATTGGTCCCTCGCTTCCAACTACGGTAAACTTGCCATCATCATTTTCAGCTCCTGGGTCGGGATGCACCATGGTGGTATCATTGCTGGGTTGGCTTCCTGCGGTGTGATGATGAGCATTGTTTCAACAGCCTCCGATCTGATGCAAGACTTCAAAACAGGATACCTCACTCTGTCCTCTCCTCGCTCATTGTTCTTCAGCCAGGTTCTAGGGACCGCAATGGGATGTCTCATCACACCTTTAGTCTTCTGGTTCTTCTTCAAAGCATATCCGGTCGGTGACCCAGATGACCCCTATCCCGCACCCTACGGGTTGTTATACCGCGGCATTGCACTTCTTGGCACGGAAGGCGTTTCTTCACTTCCCAAGCACTGTTTAACACTCTCCATCGGTTTCTTCATCGCCTCTATCGTTTTAAACCTGTTCCGCCAGGTGTTGCAGAAGGTCGAAACCAAGTACCAGATCTACCGGTTCATTCCAAGTCCAATGTGCATGGCTATCCCCCTCTACCTTGGTGGTTACTTCGCCATTGACATGTGCATTGGGAGTTTGATACTCTTCTTGTGGGAGAGGAAGAACAAGCAGAAGGCAACGGACTATGCACCTGCGGTGGCATCTGGTCTCATATGTGGGGAGTCATTGTGGAGTGTCCCGGCCGCCATTCTATCTCTTGCTAACTTGACGCCACCGATTTGTATGAAGTTATTCCTCTCTGGTGCTGCCAACGTCAAGGTGGACAACTTCTTGAATGGAAGTTAGAGATGAATTATAAATTCAAGCATCACTCTGTAGTCTGTACAGCTTGCGTTTTCTTTCTTTTTCTTGGGGAGTCATGACATGTGCATTAGAAAATGCTGCCCAATTGTTCACCAAATTAACAAACCTTGAAAATGAAAAATTAAATCATTGGTACAGTTAAAATACCAAAAACATAAGATTATAGAAAGTAAAGATAAATTTACATAATCAAATAATTAAAAAAAATAAAAGTAAAAGAGAGATGATAAAGAAAGGAATTAATGTTAGTTTTGGAGAAAAATATATGAAGAATTTGAATAAAACTTGAAAATAAAATACTAAGGAAAAGAAATCAGAGTAGTGATGAATAAGAAAAAGAAAGATGAAGATACAAAGATGCAATGAAAACATAAAGAGAATTGTTGAAAGTTAGAGAAATAAGGTGTAAAGAAAAGTGTTGAAGTTGGAGAAGAAAGAAATGAAGAGAAGTTACAGAAGTGATGAAAAGAGTCTTCTGACCGAATTAAAAGTAGCAGAAAATTAACAAATTTCATCAATTTTATCAATTTCCTAAGACAAAGTTCAACGGTATTTTTTTATTAACCCACTTTTGGTCAATATTAATGACCTAAATAATGGGTAAGTCTATTTCGGTCAAATATTGTGATTAATTAAAATATAAAAATTTATTAAGTTTTGATGATCAGAATAGGTTGGGTACAAAAAGCTACAGAATAGAAGCCCCTCTTTCAATTAATCTGTAGGTTGCTCTATTTCCTACATTTTACCTTTCCTGTTTTTTACTTTCCCTGTTTCTAGCTTTTTGACATAAAATTTGTAAGTAATACAATAAAATTTCTATTAATTAAGCTATTTATAAATATATATTAAAACATCTAATTGAAAAGTTTACCTATAAACAATAAATATAAAACTTGACCTAATATCATAACTAAAGTATTGTGTCCTAAACTAATAATTAAAGTACCGTGTGCTGGTTATACATGTAGAGATTTTCATACATGTCCATGTATATATAATAGTAAAAGATGTTTTTAATACAACGACCAACTTAGGACAAAGCCAATTATGCTTCCCCACTTGTCCCAACCCCTCCTCCTCCCTGTATCATAAAAAACATCATCTCCATCCTATTAACTTTCTCTTACAATGTCAATTGATTCTCTTATAGTTTTGTCACAATCTATTGCAACTGCACCATATATTGAGATGATTTAATAGAACTATCAAGTATAGTATGTGGAAGACGCTTACGATGTGACATCCCTTGCTCAGCAAGGTCCATGTAAATTGGCATTTTGTAAAATCACTCATCCTTGGGTTCACCTGAAACTTGGACCAAAATTGGGTATCAACTACTGTTGGCCATCCAGTTGTGTCCTTCCCATATTTCTGAATGGCCTCTGTAGTTAATCATCCTTGCAATAAATTATATAACATATTTATTATATCATTTAATTTTTTATAATGAATCTAAAAAAATTTCTGAATTCATTTATTTTAAAACTATACTTTTTCTATATAAAACAAAGTATAAAAACAATATATACTCAACCATATAGTTGCAACCATAATACTCAATATAATTATAATCATAAAAAAAATTTTACTTAAATTTTTGCAATTCATTATAAATTTATAAAAAATTTGGCAGAGTTTCCTTTTAAAACTATACTTTTCCCTAATAAACAAAGTATAAAAACATTATATATTCAATTATATACTTGCAATCATGATGTTCAATATAAACAAAATAAAATTGCTTAAATTTTCACAATTCATAAAAAATGTATAAAAAATTCGACAAAATTTCTCCTAAAAAATGAACTTTTCCCTTGTAAACGAAGTATAAAAACATTATATACTCAATCATATACTTACAATCATGATATTCAATATAATTATACACAACATAATAAAATTACTTAAATTTTCACAATTCATTATAAATTTATAGAAATTTTGGTAGAGTTTCTCTTAAAAGCTATACTTTTCCCCTATAAATAAAATATAAAAATACATTCAACCATATATATATTTTCAGTTATGATATTTTGTAATACCCCCAAAATTTCTAGAGCATCAAGTGAGAGTTAGGGACCTAATTGTGAAGAAATACTATTAATGAACTTAATGGCAAAAATTTTCAAAGTTCAGGGACTTAAAAGAAAGGAAATTAAGATAAGGATCAAGGCTGATATTTCTGTCCTCAGCCACGTGTTTTGCTCTTCTTCATCTTCATTTTCTTCTCCTCTGCCGACCGAAGCTCCCCTAAGCCACCGACTCATCCCCTTTGAGAAAAATTGGTAACAAGCTTGATTTTTCCCTTCCTTTTCTTGTTAAAGAACTGATTTTAGGACCTAGAACCCTCCCTTTGAAGTGGGGATTTCAGATCTGCTCTGTTTCTTCCCTTGGTCTGTCCGCTGTTCTGCTGGGTGTGAATCCTTCGGGATTTTTGGTAAGAACCAGCTTCAAGTTCATCTCTTTAGCTTTAATTTGGCTTGGGTCACTCTAATCCCTTTTGTTTCTTGCAATTTTGTCGTAGTTTTCATGATTTCTTCTCCAGTCTCTGTCGGCCTCCATACCCGCCAGCTCCGGTTTTGGCTGCTGGAAAAATACTGGTATGTTGATGGCATCTTTAAGTCCAAAAATGGTTAATTAGTTGCTGCCCGTGTTATCCGAAAACCCTCTGTTGTGCTGTCCGGATTTCTGCCGAAATGTGGAAGAATTTGGCAGCATTTTAAACATGTTTTTTTTTAGCTTAATTCATGTAGAAATAAACCTGTTTTTGGCTTGAAATTAACTGCTGTTCTGTGTGGAAAATCCTGCTGTTTTGCGAAAATTTTACTGTTCACGCAGGAAATTTTGCAATTTACTGCTGCGTTTTCTGCATTTTTCTGTAAACTTGCTGCAGCATTTTTCTGCACTTGCTGCTGCATTTTTCTGCAAGTTGCTGCTGTTTTCACTGTTCATGCAGAAACATTCTGCATTTTCCTGCACTGTTTTGACCAGAAAACTCTGTATTTTCTCCAGAAAAAATTCTGCATTTTGCAGCATTTTTCCTTGCTATTTTTCTGCATTGTTTTTCCCCCAAATTTCTTGCCATTTACTGCAAATTTCTGCTCCTTGCCAAATTCTAGAAGTTGCAGTTACTGTTCACAGCGCGCATGGTTCACGTGCACTGTTCACCCATTGAATTTTAATTAATTTGAGTAGAAAATCTCATGGAATACGTTAGTTATGGCATTGGATTAATTTTAGTCCAGTAGTGATGTATTATTGATTGGGGTTTTGTTTGGTTGTGAGAACGTGATGGGAAAATGAAAAGGAAATTGGTTATTAATTCTTGAATATTTGAATTAGGTTACTGATCGTTTTGTCAATTTAGTACTGAGATCGAGCCCTTGGTTTTAAGCAAGTGAGGTAAGTAAATTTATGGTAATGTCCGCACTGTTTTTAAAAGATGTTTTGACTTGTTTTTTAAGTGGTGGCGCGACTAAACCCGTTTTATGCAAAAGTAAGTATGACTAATTGAAGTGAAGTTTTATGCTTTTCATTAAATTGAGCATGCCTACTTAAAATTTTATTTGATTGCCTTGATGATCTGAAAGTGATTAGTAAATTATGAATTTTCTGTTAACTTCTGCCTGTTTTGTCTCCGATACAGTCATGTTATCCTGTCGCCCGCTAGTGGGAGGTTTAAATGCTAGCACATGTCGACATGTTCCTGATAGAACCGGTTCATTTCTGTAATCCTGCTAGTGGGAGTTAAACACTAGTAATTCCTGTTGCCTGCCAGTGGGAGGTTTAAACACTGGCCATGACCTATAAAGGAGACGTCTATTTCGTTCCCGTACTTGTATCAGTTTTCTGATTACACTTGTTGGCATGCTATAAGTTTAATTGACTACTATTGAATTTTATTCTGCATAATGGTTATCATTGAGCATTCCGTTTATGTTTAAACTGTTTATCTGAAATGCTCAAATTTTACCCACGGGCTATCCATACATTTACTTATTGAGATATTTTATCTCATGATTTTCCCTTGTCCACCATTTCAGGTAGTATGACTCGAGACACGGAAACCACGGGAAGTGACGAGTTAGAAGGCTAGCCATTTCGAGATTGATATAATTTTAGAAATAAATCATGTTTTTTTGTAAGATAGATTTTACCTTGTGATTTTAAGTTTAAGTCATGTTGGACATAGATTTATGGAATATATTATCATTCTTGGAAGATAGATTGTACCTTGAATTTTATGGTATTAAAACAGATTTTGCGAGAATAGAGTCTGGGATTTGAATAAGTTCCGAGCCTTGTGCGTTTGTGGGACTCGTCTCACGAGTGCACGGCGTCTATCGCGCCTCGGATTTGGGTTCTGGGGCGTGACATATTTAATAAAATTAAAATGCAATTTGATTTCACTTAAATGAATAAATGAAAAAGAATTCAAAAGATGCAATCTAATTATTAGTGAAGAGATGATAAAATATCACTTAAATGAACCTCTCAAGAAATAATAATGGTAAATAAATAATACTTACAATATACTCCAAAGCTAGCTCATCAATAAATGTTGGTATTTTATCTTTGTCTTTTGGATGGCACATTTTTTTTCATAAATCACATCAATGAATGATGGATCCCTATGTTTAAGATCTTTTTCTTTTTGCAATAGCACATAGTCAATTATTTTGTTAATTCACAAAAACATTATAATTAACATCAATATTATTATATAAATTATGATATGAAATCTAAAACATAAAGGTAACATTTTTTTACCAACTTTTGCATAAAGTCATTGTAATCCATAGATCCACCTGTGTAGGTTACCTTAGCGCCTTTGGCTCAATTTAGCTTTGCTTATTCTCTACGCACATTGAACTATTTGACCTTTGTCCATATGTACTTTAGCTTCTCCCAAACCTCATCAGACATGTATGACTTTTTTTTTCTATAAAATTATTCTTTCAACATGAAGTCTAGATATCAATCATCATCCAATTATATTGTTTTTCACAAACATTGAGAAATGCTACATGTACAGCACCTTCATTAATAGTGTCCCACTCGTATCTATTTTGAAAAAAAAATTATAGGTATCATATATTCATATTGATTGATTCGTATAAGAAAATACACATATATAAATAAAAATATGTCATTATAATTTCTTTAATAAAACTACAAACTTGAAAAGCTTGCTAGTACATTTCCTTGTGCTCATGAGAAATTGAGCCCCACCATATGCATGCATCACGTATATTCAACTTAAGGATGATTGAAATATCCTTTTGAACTTGTTTTGGTAATGTCTTCTTATCCTAGTTCCCAATGTTTCATTAGCACATGTCTCCCCCTAGGTCTCCCTATCAATGGTACTCGAAGACCCAATTTCCTATGATTAATTTTTCCTTATAGGCCTTTAGGGAGCAACATCAGCATCCTTCTCACCCCTACAAGCTCCAGGTTTGCAATTCACTACAAAAAATATTAAGAAATAATACTACATTAGTATATGATTGAGAAAAAATGCATTAGATTTAGACTTTAGAAAAATTAAATCAAACATGAAATTTAAAGACAATATTTATACATTTTAATAAACATTATATTAAGTTCTCTTTTATGTCAAGCTATTTACATATCACCTAGTGTGTCATAAAATACCACATATATATACTACTAAATAATAACAAAATCTATATGTGTTACTAATTAATTAATTATTACTATTACTATTTGAAATGTATTCAATATTTTCTTCTTTAGATGTATAATAATCTTTAAATTCTTCCTCCTTATCTTGTTTCTCAAATTCTCTGTCATTATCCATGTCCTCAAATTCTACACTAATGGAAACTACAATCCTATTAGTATGCTGAATAAGTTTATATAGTATGAGGTTTAACTGGGTCGGTTGAGGAGCTGGATGGACATCATCATGAAAAATGGGTTCTGGATCATTATGTTGTTCCTTTTACCCATCTAACATCTCAATAATGCTTCTTACCTTGCATTTCAATGTAGCAACCCATCCCTTCCTAATAGAATTATGTGTTGGATATAGAGTGTAATATACCTGTTTAGCTTGACTTGCTAAGATGAAAGGCTCATAAATTCTCAATTTTCTATTTGAATTAATATCAACAAGACAATGCTTTTGGTTAACCACAATTTCTCGTGCAAGAGGAATTTCATACTGATTCCATTTAAATAGAACAACTGTCTGTTGATGTTTGGAGCCAACATATTGAAACTCAATCTCTTCCTGCAACAACCCATAAAGATCTAAATCAGATTCTGTTCTTGTAACACACACACACACACCGTTATTCATTGTTTTCTTATTTTTCCCAAATGAAGCAATGTGAAATCGAAAACCATTTACCCAAAAGCCTTTACAGTATGAAACTATCCAAGAAGAGCTATGAGCCAAACCAATCAAATGCTTATCAATGCCCTCAAACTCATCACATCAAACCTATATTACATGAGTTATTATTTAGTAGTTATAAGTATATAATAATTAATTAACAATAATTAAAGTTTAGGATTAAACTTATCGAATTTTCAAACCATAACACAAGATAATTGAAATGTTTCATCTGTATTTGTTGGGGAGTCATATTCAGACATTCTTCCTCTTTGAAAAACCTAATCAAGCATCCATTATAATTATGAGTAAATTAATTGTTAATTTAGTTTCTCAAATGTAGTTAAGGATAAGGATTAAGAAAATGCACTCACTCAATCCATCCCGTCAATTCCTCATAATTCATTAAAACATAAT